TAAGTTCAGAACACCGACACTACAGGGGGGTTTTATGTGCAATTAACCAAAAATCTATGCAGAGCTTATGCTGTTGAAATTGAAATCAATGTATGCAAATTGGGACCTTTGGGGTCTTGAGCAGTTTCATGTTTGTTTCGTCTAAGGTTTTCTGGCCTTTTCTTGAGTTGCACCTCGAGCATGCTGTGACCTGAGAAGAAAGAACCCCCAAAAGTAAAATAAAAAATTAAAAAAATCTTAGTGATGTAAAAGATCAAATTTTTTTTGTTTGGTTCCTACGTATAGCATTGACCGTTATCCTTAATATACTAAGATTAGCAAATTGAAATGATCACCGGGGACAATATAGGATTTTCTATAAGAAAATTGAGATCGAGGACGCATCAAATCCAACAAAATATTGATGCGGACAACTGAAATGTCATTTCTGGTAAACATACGATAAAAATAAGAAAAAAAAATTTTAATTTTCCTTGCTTAGATTGAGAAGTATGAGGGTGAATAAATACCAGATTTTCCCAGGTCCATTCACCCCCTCGACACATTGGCACGACGTGGTCAACAGTCAAGCTCTCCTTAGAAGAACAATACCTGTGCACAACAGAGAGCAATGTTACCATCTAACAAAGTATACATCAGCCTTTTATAATGTGAGTTAGGATAGGTTTTCTATTCATTTTTAACAAGAAGAAAAAGCATTTCTTTAAAAAACTTCAACCTAATCTAAAACCTACAATGGCAGCAGCATTTAATGGGTATCCCAGTGCACGCAGAATAATATGCATTAACTTATCAAGGGAGATCGAAGACTAGTTATTCAAGAGATTGGATTAAACACCTTTTTTTTTAATAATGCAAGATTGAATCTTGATACCCCCAAACTAGAGTCGAGATACTTACTTCAGTCATTAATGGTAACTTTGTTAGATGGAGTCATACATCCTACGGTTTTACATTTGTTGCTCAATTATTACTCACATTGCTTTCTCACAATAGTTAACTTTCAGAAAAAAAGAAAAGAAAGTAGGTAATAATTTCATCACTTTACCATGATAATTATATATGAACTCCAGAAATATAAAATGGTCACTTACTGACAAGTGTAAGAATCCCTGTAAAAAATATTTTTACGGGTAAGGCTGTGCTTAATCCTTCTTCTCTTGACAACCTGCAGCAAATGAGGAACCTGAAGGGAGAAAGAATGTTAAGTAACTTTAGATGTAATGTTTTGGAGACTGAAAGTGGTAAATTTTGATTTTTTTTAAAAATACCCTTAAAACAGCTGGAATATAGAAAGACCCTCGAGGAGAAGGCACAGTTTGATCATAATATTCTAAGACGTCTGCCTGCGAGATGAATAATTTATCAGAGCCAGCATAGGAAGCACGTAGGAAGAATCTGTTTTATGACGTATTATGTCTTGAAATTTGTTATATTCTCGTGATAAAGAAAATTTTAAATAGAAATCACCAATCTGCTGCTAGGTAGTAAGCTCAGTTAGTCTTTATATGTCATATTTTCAAGCTTTGAGCAGAAAATACATGACTCCAGAGCTTGAGCTGACCTTCTCCATGAATTCCAAACAAATTGCACGCTTCCAGCAGACAACATTGACAGGTCTGGCAAAGTGTACATACGATTAAAATTGAGTTGAAAATGAGAACCTTAATGCAAGTTCATTCTCTATTTTCTGAAGGAAGATGGATGCAATGGAACTATGCTAGCATATATCAAAATGTTAAATACCGATAGAGATGGTGAAGTATCACATGTTGTTTGAAGGACTTATAACAGTAAACAATATATACATCTGATGCCAGCAACAAATATGGTCGTACGATTTTACTCCAAAGTTGTATGTTTCAGCTTTTACTACATGTATTCAGCATTAAACAATTTGCACTAGATTAGACAAGAAAGCTTTGTTACGCGCTTCAAACATGACTAATCATGTTAAACTAAATAGATTTTTGCATTTAAACCCAAAATTTTATCCCCATTTATTTTTAAACCTACTTACTTCTATCTTTACCCATACACCCAAAATACCTTTCTTCTTGATCTTTGAGCCCAAAATATCAAATACACTCTATTTCTATGCAATATTCCCCCTCCAAAAAAAATTATTAAAAAACCCAAAATGCCCTTGTCTTCCTCTAAAATGCACTCTCTAAAACTCTTTCCACCCTTTGTTTGGATCTCCCTCTAAGACCCTCTCCATAATCCCTCCTCCCTCTCCTCCACCGTCTCATCCGTCTCCCTTTCCCAACACCCCGACTCTTCCATCTCGTCATCATCAACTTATAGGTTTTGTTGCTATACTTACATGTGATGTTGCTATACTTAAAGATTTTGTCGCTGTATCTATATGCCTTGATGCTACACCTACCGATTTTGTTGTTATACTTGCATGTTTTGAAGGAAGGAAAGAGGAGATGGCTGAGGAGAGTGAGGAGGAGGGAGGAGGAGGTGGTGGTGGTGATGGACTTGGCGGTGGTGGAGCTTGATGATGTGCGGGCAGAGGAGGGAGGAAGATGACATTGAGTGAAGGGAATGAGTTCTTTTGTTAGAGAGGAAGAAGTAGGATATTTTGGGTATCTTTGTTTTATTAAGGGAAACAATATACATATATGGTTGTATTTTATAATTTTGGGTTTAAGCATAAATTCAAATAATATTATGGGTTTATGGGTGTAGATAAAAGTTAGTGAGTTTAAAAATAATCAAAGTAAAACGTTGGGTTTAGAAGCAGATCCCCCTAAACTAGAAGATGATAGTTATTTGACTTCTTTGCATGAGTTGAGACATTCCTGAGAAATCCCTGCGCTCTACCTTTTCTTTGAAAAGAACCAAGGCATTGCTATCTTAAGAAATTAACCACTTGGTCATCGGCCTAAACTATGTTGATCAGCTTATGGAGAGCTGATTCCAAGAAAATATCTGGTACACGATCACTTCATAGAGAAATTTTGAGATCTTCAAATCACCTAGAGGTTGCACGTGATGTTTTGTGTTATATCAATGAACGAGATTCATTAACCACCACCAGATTCATTAACCTTACCCCCCACCAGGCCCCCCAAATTTTTTTTTTAAGGGATTGCATCCTAGCTCATTTCAAAAGCTAGAGCCCAAACACTATTACGCTAGAGCTCCAATTAAAATGCTAAAAGCCTAATGCCCAAAACCATTAGCCTAGAGATCCAAAAGCCCAAGATCAAAAAACCAAAATCCAAACCCAAAACTAATAATTAAACCAATTAACATTCTCTCTCCACCTCCTTCTCGTTTCTTTTCACTGTTCACCGGAAGCCAAAATCCTCAATTAACTGTTCACCAGAAGTCAAAATCCGCAATTACAATTATCCAAATCCTAACTACTCCTCACCCACACACCAGTGGCCTCCAGACCTCCTCCGTCGCCGGACCTCCTCCACCACCGCCCTGACCTCCGGCTGGACCCACCACCGTCAGATCGTCCTCCTCTCATAAACTTCTAAATTCTCATCATGAGTCACCAATTATCAAATAATCCAAATTTTCTTTTAAAATGTGTTTTAAATGAGTTAATATTATTATTTTTATTAATATTTCACACATTCACATGCTTAATACTCTATGATTTAGGGCTACAATTCAAAGAATTTAATGTTAAGAAATTTAAGGGATACATTTCAAAAAAAATTATATGCCAAGAATATGCAATAGATTGATTTTGTTTGTCAAGTGTTTACTTCAATTTTACTAAAATTTGAAATACATGAAAGAGTAAAAGGAATTTGTGGTTAATGGATTGTTATCTATTTTGAGAATTTGAGTCATATAAACATTGTAGAAAGTCAAATTGTGAGAATGGGTAACTAAATATAACTAAAAAAATAATTATTGATTAATTAAAATAATAGTTTGATATTTATTATCTTGCATATTCTTTTAGTTATGGAGAAATTTCCCAAGAGAAAGTCGCCAGTGGAGCGACTATCAACTAATCCAAATTCAAATGATCTTGAGATTAGCAATAAGCGAAAGAACTTAAAAGATCTTCCGAGGGATCCCGGGCTTCGATCGGATATTTTCGATCATCATCATTAATGATGTGTTTGTACTTTGCGGACGGCTAAGGCGTAATGTTGAGAAAGTGACAAATTTACACAATTTTCATGTTAAAATTTTCTATCAAGTGATTGACAAGCAACTTTAAGAGCTCAACAACCTCCTTATGGAACCTAACATCAAGTTGCTTATTTGTATTGTTTGCTTGAATCCAATGGATTCATTTTCATCTTTTGATAAGCGAAAATTGATTTGCTTAGCTTAGTTTTATCCATCAGAGTTTCATCCAGTAGATTTCATGGCTCTTTATAATCAATTTGAGAATTACATCCTTGATGTACGTTCAGATAGTCAATTCACAAAGTTAAAAGGGATTGGTGATCTTTCCAAACAGTTGGTTGAGACAACGAAAATGTTGCATATTCTTGGTGTATTTGCTTGTGAAGTTGACTTTAGTCTTACCGGTAGCGACCGTAACTGTAGATCGGGTTTTTTTTGCAATAAAGTTTGTGAAGAATCGTTTGCATAACAAATGGAAGATGAATGGATGAATGATTATTTGGTTATATAAATAGCAAAAGATGTGTTTGATAGCATTGCCACTGAAGTAATCACTCATCAATTTCAAAATATGAAAAATCGTCTAAAGGAATTGTAAACATGTGAAATATCTTTTTTTTTTTGTAAAAGTAATTGTCTAAACGTTTTCTATATCTTTTGATATGTACATTATATGTATATTTTGCGGACAATCTTCTATAAATTATTTTCGAATCTAATCGCAATGTTGGATTTGGTAGATGTAGGCGTCAAAAAAATGCTGAAAGATATCCAAATACAACTGAAGAGAAGATCATCCAAAAAATCAAAGAAAAGACAGCCTTTACTGTCTCGCCGTGCGAGACAGTATTTACTGTCTCGCACGCGAGACAGTTTTGAAATGGTCAGAAACCACCTTGAACAACTGCCACACACGTAGGGGCTATAAATACCCCCCGAAGGCCATTTTTCAGGAGGGCTGATCATTTTGAGCACTTCAGAGCAGAGAAAGAGCAGAGTTCTTGAGTTTCTGGCAACTCCTTGATATTCAGGCTTTGACTTGATTTCAAGAAGAACGACTATCTTACCTTGATAAGATATCGTTTCAAGTTCTCACTTCGATAAACGAAGTCAGAATCATAAACCCCTCACGATTCGATCAGAATCTGTGATTTGGTGGTCCACGGGCTAACGCACCCCCGGCACAGGCAAAGATCCCACGCAAGCAGCGATCCAAACAATGATCCTGCGTTTGTTTCTCAAGAGTTGTAATTTTCCTTTTGTTGTGTAAAAGAAGTCTTATAAAAAGGCTATTTCTTTTGAATTTATTGTAATCGACTGAAGATATAATGAATTCCATGACAAAACCAACTTTTGACGCAAACAAGCTGGCGACCACAGTGGGAGCCAACGGTCTCGCTGCCGAGACCGTCGTGTCGCAGCCAATCAAGATTCCAGTTGAATCCATGGTCGAATACGAATTCGACCAAACCAAATTTGAGGAATATCTCTCATCATCCTCTTCAAGATCTTCATTGTCTCGTAAATACAAGAGGATCTCACAATTGAGGAAGACCTACATGCCAAAGAAGGCACAAAATGAAGACTCTCTCCGGATTGTTGCTAAGGATTTGACTCGCAACACCTCTGCTCACAATGACTCTTATCTAGTTAAAGAGTCATCGAATCAAAGCCCACCGGTACTGACGAAGAGGGCTCGTCAGAGACAGCGTCAGCGCCGTGCTCGCCAAATAGCTAAGGCATTTGAACAAACCGACGGAGTTCGTTATTATGCGGACTTAGAGTCGAGGAAACAACAAGTGGTTTGTTCAACGCAACGACAAACTACTCACGTTTCTGCACAATTCACGACGGAGGAATGGACACTCGTCAAAAGGGCTCGTTCGACCCTCAAAGAACGTATACAAAAGCGTCGTGCAAACGCAGCTCATGCTCGTGCTCTCTTACAACAAAGACGAGAAAGGAGGAAGGAAGCGGTGACCAAAGAACCACCGAAACTCCGCCAAGTTTGGATTCCGAAGTCTGGACTTATGCAAAATCAGCATTCGGAGCCCGTTAAGACTCCATACCCGCAAGGGGGTGGTTTTAGACGTGCGACTCCCGACATAACCTTGGATCGCTCAAAGACAAAGATAAATTGTCCTGAGAATGCCAACAAGGTTTTATACCACCAGAAGAAGATGCATTCATCAAATGATATCGTCATACCTGGGAGGTCATGCTAACAGACGATACGATTTTTTGACAATCATACCGATGAATCGTATTATCAAGTTGGGGTTGTGAATAATTTTCGAAAGAGAGTTATTCGAGAGATAAGCTCTCATTGTTCCTGTGCACGACTTATAAGATCAGCTGTCCAAGATGATGAATTCCTTGAAGTCACCATCAACATGGCTGATAAAAGAAAATCTAAGCGGCATTCAAGTGACTCAAATCCTGACTTTTCCCCGAGAGGAAGAGTCAATCCAAGAATCGCTCAAAGGATGTCTCGACTCCAATTAGGAGCTATCAGACGCAGAAATTACAAGAGAATGCAAGAAGGAATGTCCTCGGAGGATGAATTCTCGGACACTTATTCTGCAATCGCTTCTGATGATACAATGTCTAGCACAGGACAAACCAGAGAAGTACTCACGATCACCTCTGATCAATTTGCTCAAATACTTCAAGAAGCTCTAGCCAAACAACGTGAAGAAATTAGAGCTGAAGTGAAGACAGAAATGGAGTTAGCTATCCAACAAATGAGAGAATTGCTAGCTCAGTGGCCTCAACCCCCTGAGTCCAGTCAAAGAACTGAATCCAACCGCCACACTCAGAAAGTTGCGGATGACAGTGATCCAGAAGTGGATGAAGTCATTATGGCTGATACACCTCCCAATAGTAATAACGCTGGGGGTGGTTTAACACATTCTCCCAATAACGATATTGGGATTGGTTCAATGGCACCTCTTACAGGGGGTGGTCTAACTCATTCTCCTCAACGTCATTCGAATGAAGACATAGACGATGACGGGAAAATGAAAGAGCTGGAAAACAAAGTCAACGCTTTGATGACGGCTCAAGAAGTGAAGAAGACGGGTATTCCATGTCCCTATCCAAGAGAATGGAATTCAATACCGTATCCGACAAAGTTCAATCTGATTAACTTCACACCGTTTGAGGGGAAGAGTTTGCCGATTCAGCACTTGATTTATTTCAAGTCTCATTTGGGCATGATCTCTGGAAACGAGGCTTTAATGGTCCGGTCATTCGTTGGCACCCTTCGCGGGCCCACCTTCGATTGGTACCGACGGCTTAAGCCAGGGAGCATCAATTGCTGGGATAACATGGAAAGTTTGTTCCTCAGCAATTTCTTCAATGATGACACCGAAGTGTCAATCGGAACCCTTTTGGATGAGAAGCAAAAAGACGGAGAGTCAGTTGACGATTTTGTCAAGCGCTTCTGTGGCAAAGCAATGAATTGCAGAGATCCTATTACAGAGGAGTTCATCCTGCAAACATGCCACAATAACCTCTCCATCGATGTCCTGGAAGCTCTGGGGGTCGTACCATCCAAAACTTGGAAAGAGTTAAAATCTCGGGGTGAACAAGCTGAGCACTTTCTTAAAAGAAAGAAAGCTGAGATAGGCCAACCAATGACATCTGCAATCGTTGAGAATGCGACTCTCGATCCGAGGTTTCAAAAGGAATATTCTTTCGAAGATGATGAAGCTCCAGCCATATTAGAATATCTCCTCGCTAATGACAAAATCGAGCTACCACCTATTAAAGATCAGGATGGAGCTAAGAGGATTACAGATCCAAACTACTGTGCATATCACAGAAGGGTTCTTCATCCCACCGAGATTTGCTTTGGACTCAAAAACAAGATCCAAGCCCTAATTGACTCCGGCGTCATAACGACGCAAGAAGTCGAGTAAAGACGACCATACAACTCCAGTGGGTGCACGAGTATAAACTGTTTCCCCACACTCCAAAGAGTATATGAGTATAAATTGCTTCTCGATTATCCAACTGAGTACAATGTTAAACCCGATTTCGCAAAGAAACTGGGGGTGGATAATTCATGTAACGGGAAGTTCCCGGAAAAATGTTAAATGTAATATTCTTAGGGATAACCCCGATCATTATGAACAAAGTGATAAACACTAAACTCCTACTATGACTTCCGAATACTCTTTTGCTGAGATGAGATTCGATCACCACTTTAGATCAATCTTCCCTCACAAAATTCTCATTTTGGTCAAACCTTTAAACAGTTAAGACCAAATCCAAAATCCCCTCTCGATTCGTTCCATGAACGAGAGGTCCACAAATTGAACGATCAAACCTTTAAACAGTTAAGATCGTCTCAAATTCCCATCTTGGTCAAACCTTTAAACAGTTAGGACCAAAGCCAAAATCCCCTCTCGATTCGTTCCATGAACGAGAGGTCCACAAATTGAACGATCAAACCTTTAAACAGTTAGGATCGTCTCAAATTCCCATCTTGGTCAAACCTTTAAACAGTTAGGACCAAAGCCAAAATCCCCTCTCGATTCGTTCCATGAACGAGAGGTCCACAAATTGAACGATCAAACCTTTAAACAGTTAGGATCGTCTCAAATTCCCATCTTGGTCAAACCTTTAAACAGTTAGGACCAAAGCCAAAATCCCCTCTCGATTCGTTCCATGAACGAGAGGTCCACAAATTGAACGATCAAACCTTTAAACAGTTAGGATCGTCTCAAATTCCCATCTTGGTCAAACCTTTAAACAGTTAGGACCAAAGCCAAAATCCCCTCTCGATTCGTTCCATGAACGAGAGGTCCACAAATTGAACGATCAAACCTTTAAACAGTTAGGATCGTCTCAAATTCCCATCTTGGTCAAACCTTTAAACAGTTAGGACCAAAGCCAAAATCCCCTCTCGATTCGTTCCATGAACGAGAGGTCCACAAATTGAACGATCAAACCTTTAAACAGTTAGGATCGTCTCAAATTCCCATCTTGGTCAAACCTACCAACAAAAAAAAGAGACCATATTACTCCAATAGGTACACGAGTCTAAACTGTTTCCCTATCATCAACAGGAAGTTTCTGGAGAATATTACTCAGAATATTCTTAAGAATAACCTGATTGCCTCCCAACGGGTATATGAGGTTAAACTATTTCCTGAACACTCCAATAAAATATATGAGTATAAACTATATCCACATTCTTCAATACCAGCTCTAAGTCAAGACTTCGACAACGGTCAAGCGATAAACGTAGCACCGGAAAATTTTTGTCTATTCTACGAATCACTGGATAGACCAAAAGATGAAGAGATCAATATTTGAAGCCATGTACGGGTCCTTCCGTACGATCTACTCAATCAAGTATTGAAGGGATTGCAAATAAGGCATGTCTTATCCAAAGTGCCACAGACTCCTCTATAAAATAATACGTCTGGAACACTTTGGAGGGGGTATCTGTAGGCGTCAAAAAAATACTGAAAGATATCCAAATACAACTGAAGAGAAGATCATCCAAAAAATCAAAGAAAAGACAGCCTTTACTGTCTCGCCGTGCGAGACAGTATTTACTGTCTCGCACGCGAGACAGTTTTGAAATGGTCAGAAACCACCTTGAACAACTGCCACACACGTCCATTAACTGTCAAAGAACATGGGGAACGTTGTGGGCGAGAATCACGTTGACAACTGCCAAAATAACGGAGTTTTAAAACGTGGGAAGGCAGTTACAACAAAAACGGCCAGACGGTTACTGTTCACGAGACAGTATTTACTGTCTCGCGGGGAGAGACAGTCTTTACTGTCTCGAAAGTACTGTTCATCCTGGAGGCTATAAATACCCCCAAAGACCATTTTTGAAGGGGCGGATCATTTTGAGCATTTCAGAGCAATCCAGAGCAGAGAGAGAGCAGAGTTCTTGAGCTTCTAGCAACTCCTTGATATTCAGGCTTTGACTTGATTTCAAGAAGAACGACTATCTTACCTTGATAAGATATCGTTTCAAGTTCTCACTTCGATAAACGAAGTCAGAATCATAAACCCCTCACGATTCGATCAGAATCTGTGATTTGGTGGTCCACGGGCTACAGAGTTCTTGAGCTTCCGGCCATTCCTTGATATTCAGGCTTTGACTTGATTTCAAGAAGAACGACTATCTTAACTTGATAAGATATCGTTTCAAGTTCTCACTTCGATAAACGAAGTCAGAATCATAAACCCCTCACGATTCGATCAGAATCTGTGATTTGGTGATCCACGGGCTAACGCACCCCCGGCACAGGCAAAGATCTCACACAAGCAGTGATCCAAACAACGATCCTGCGTTTGTTTCTAAAAAGTTATAATTTTCTGTTTGTTGTGTAAAAGAGGTCTTATAAAAAGACTATTTTTGAATTTATTGTAATCGACCAAAGATATAATGAATTCCATGACAAAATCAACTTTTGACGAAAACAATAGAGAATTTTTACTAGCAAGCATACATCTTTTGATTTCATTAATGAAAGTAAAACAATTAGTAAGAATACTCATATTTGTTTTTCTATCTGATTACAGGCAAAATATGATGCAATACAACTAATAAAATTGTTTCCATTACTGAGAACATTTCCACCCGGTACTATTGTTTTACAATATTATATTTTATTTTTAAATAAATAGATAATAATTTCCTGGATCCGCCTCTGCCTGGTCTCAAGGCACTAACATGCTATCAGAACTACCCCCATAGGAACGATGTGGTCTTAACCATAGATATGAGAGCTAAAATTCTCAAACTAACCCCTCAACCACCGGAGTATAGTATAGATCACCCTATTTGTATAGAGTGTTCTGATAGAATCTGCAGTCTTTCTCGATATGCATCCACTATCATCTCACAATAAGATCATCTAAATTCACAACAGGTATCAAAAAGCCATTTCCCAGATCACAATCAACAAGCGTACCGAGTAATACTTAGCAAGGAATATCAACAGCACATTTTAACAAGCACCTAATGTGCATCGAAAAGATCACAAACCTGTAAGAGATATCAAGCACCAATCCTCTAAAGCAAGACAACTCATCCCCCTCCAACTCCTGAAGCTCCACCTCCTCCTCTTCACTATCACCACCCTCTCTCTTCAATCTCTCCTCAGACTTGAATCCACCGGACTTCTCCCCGTGAGACCAAACCCTGCAGAACCCAGAAAGCCTCACCCCTCTGCTTCCCTTACTGAGCCCAACTGGGCTCTCAAGCAGCAATCTCTTGTTGAATCTAAATGGGTCTCTGAAATCAGAGCCGAGGGAGAGCCTGAGACCCCCATTAGCAGAGAATTTGGCCATTGGAGGTTGTTTGAGGATTGTGGGTATTGAAGTTAATTTCACACTTGAGGGAGGAGTTCTGTTGAGTGTAGGAACTGTGGAAATTATCACAGCCACATATTGCTTTTGGTTGTTGCCCTTGATGCCAAGAATATCTCTTTCTCTGTTGAACCTCACTGAGATTTTTTTTTAAAAGTTTTGATTGCCATGTGACATAATTTCAAAATAATTCGCCACTGGTTTTAATGGATTGTTAGAAATTATGGGTTCAATCGCCAATTCATGGATACTTCTCAATTTCTTTCAGGATTAGTTCAGTTAGTTAATCAAGTTTTTTTATTCTTTACTGACAATATTAGGACAAATTTTCAAAACCGACCCCTTTGGGTTTTTAATTGCAAAAAACGACCGGTTTTGAAAATATTTACAAAAACCGACCTGTTTTCAGCCAGGGGCTGAAAACAGGTCGGTTTTTTTTATTTTATTTTGGGAAACTTCACGGGAGTTGAACTCCCGTGAAGTTTTTCTCATAACAAAACTTCACGGGAGTTGAACTCCCGTGAAGTTTGGAAAAAAAAAATTCAAAAACCGACCCAGTTTCAACCAACTGGGTCGGTTTTTATAAATAAGATTGAAATGGGTCGTTTTTTGCAATTAAAAACCCAAAGAGGTCGGTTTTGAAAATTTGTCCGACAATATTATTATTTACGAAAGCACAATTTTTGAATGATTAATCATTTACACCTTTTGATTTTTTTTTTTTAAATATCCGAAAATAAGATTCGGGACTCGGAAATTTTACATCGCTACGAGATCGTAGATGCTTTATACATTCAAACAACTTCTCTCTGTCATTTACTAGCAAACCTAAAGCAAGCACAAGCTAATTATAGAAGGTACAACTTTATACATTCACAACAAAACAATAAGATTATTATCCATAATATGGACCTATCATCCAACTTCCCTAATTGTTTTCGTTGTTGTCAAAGCTTCAATTAACAAAATAGTACAACAAAGGATTTACTTTCATTTTCTTTAATCAATAAACCACTACTCGGGAAATTTACAGAACACTCGAATAGTCGCCCTACATTGTGCTATTATTTGAACGAACAAATCGATATTCAAATCTCAACAGAAACAATAAACAATAAACGCGAAGGAAAAAAAAACCTCGCATCCAATCCTCACCACAATTTTGAAGTTCCAAAATTCTGCAGTACAAAACTCATGGAGCTTTACAAGCTCAAAATACCGAAATTGCAGAAGCCTCATGTAGACCGGATACCTTTACGCGGCCAGTTTGGAATGAAACAGAAAGTTGAACAGCACAAACAAAAACACCTAGCAACTAATCAGCGCAACGAAACTCATTAGAAAGACATCTTGACTGAAACTGGATAGTGATCAGTACCAACAGTCTGTCATCAATGTTGTTATGATATTAGAAATCAAAAGTGCAGACCAACAGAATAACATGAAGTTTATTACTGTCCAGGGACATTCAAACCACAAGAAAAAGCTGATTTTGCCCTCCACTAAATAATCCTTTTCTTGACAACGCTGTGAGATACAACAGCTCGAAGTCCAAATAAAAACTAAGCACAAATGCTCGCTTCTTGTTTCTCTAACACCTGACTCTCATTCTCTTTTAAGATTAGCGCCACATATATATATATACACAGTCGAGAGCTGGAACATCAGCAGAAACATAAGACAATCTGAGCATACTCCTGACCAGGACCGCTGCTATGAAAACTTGTCTGCAAATAAAAAATCGCGTAAATAAGATCGCAAGGGGAAAAAAAAACTTCCAACTTTGACCTCTCTAAAATGCAATATGAAATCTATACAAATATTAACTAACAATCAAGCGCAGGCATGATGAAAACTTACCTCTTCCCTGCAATTTTATTATTCTCTACTGATCGTCTTTGATAATGGTGATAAAATGCAAAAGAGAGAAAATATGGAATATTAAGAGGAAATCCGTAACTGTGAACTAAAGGGTATCAACTAATCTCAGGAACACGCTCCTGCTTTTCCGAATTTCTTAAGTAGCATACATATTGCTTTAAGAACAGTTTATCCAATTCATGTAAAAAAGATTATATTAGTCAAAACCTATGGTCTTTAGATGCATCATTTAGGAAAAGCTTTTGGAATATAGACAATTGCAGCTGCAACTTAGACAGGTGCTATATCTCGAGTACAATCTAGTAAAAATAACATAACGAAGAATCATACATAGCAAAACAATATACTATATTCCTTAATTTGTAGTCAGGAAAAAATAAAAGAAAAATGAGAAACTCGTACCACTGCTGACTTTTCCTGAATTCCGTGAGCACTGGATATATATTCTCAAACGCAGCATAGGTCTCATCTCTTACCTGAATAAAGGAAACAGTTAGCAAATAACAAACATAGGCGCAAAGGTATTCCGAAGAATAGGCGTGTCATGAACAAACTTACCTTAGCTCCTGTAAGGACGATTTTGCCTGAAACAAATATGAGAAGAACAATCTTTGGCTGCTTCATGCGATAGATAAGGCCAGGGAAGAGTTCTGGTTCATACTATTAGCAAAACCAACATTAAGTACATTGGAACTAAAAAGCTAGTTAGGCAATCTGACAAAATACAATTACAGAAGCTACATAACTAGTATTCATCATGCATCCGAAGTTATAATGGCTCATTACTACAAATCTACTTTGTTGGGGATTGCCATTATAACCATATAGTTATTAAACAAACAAGTTACCCATTCCTCAGAACGTGAAAATAGAGAAGTAAATAGATGCAAGGCAGCAGAATGCACAAGGCCACTGGATAACAACTTACACTTGAGAAAGCACCATGGGAGTATGCAAGACCCTCCAGTCTTATAGGAAATTTGACATCACATGAGCCAACAATATTTTGGATCTTGAAATCCTAGTTATACCACATAAAAAATGTCTAATGAGTTATCGGTATGAAGTTCAAACTGAAAAAGTGCAAGAATGGCCAAAAGTCAAAATAAGCAAATAATAGTCAGTTACCTTAAACGACGCAGGGAACCCGAGCTTTTGAATGATACGAGCATACTGAAAGCAAAAGCACTATGTGAGACTATTCTTCATGTAACAATTAGATCCCAAATCAACAAACAGTTAACAATGCTAGAAAACAATCGGGTTGGTGATGAAAACTTCAATCCAATACCTTCCGAGCTGCGAGTTTTGATTGTTGCTCACTCTTCGCTCCCGTACAGACCTGACAAAATGTGTTCAAAGAATTGTAACAAGTTAATCACAAGAACAGATTTATGATAAGAGAATCAGGAAATAAAGTTCTTAGGCAATAAATAATCAACTACACTGAAGTTTTTGCCAAATATTGGTGCATGTGAGAGAAACCTAAGAGAGGATTAAGAAAAAGAGTTTTTCCTTTAGAACACGTGGCATTAATGATGGGATAAAAAAAATACATCAGAAGAAGAATGCATGAGAACAATAAAAGCACCAACTTCTACATAATTATGAATTTCTCACATGTTTCGAAAACTCACCATTTTCCCTGATGCAAAAATCAGCGCTGTCGTCTTCGGTTCTCTTATTCTCATGATAACTGCAGCAAAACGCTGATAAGCAAAGCAGAAGTGAAAGAGTCAGAATAAGTAATCATCTACAGTCATCGATAGTTCAAACCATCTATGGAACTAACATAATTTTTATTCATAGTAATACTTCATCTTATTTTCTGAAAAAAAATATTACAACAGTAAACCACAACAAATTGCTGAATGAACATTCCACAATGAACTCAAAGCATGCAATAAAGATAAAATTATCACTTTTAGCATAATAAGGATACAACCTTGGGATTGTATTCTGCATTACGAGCCTGTAGAGCAATGGATTTCAGATCCAACTTGCAGTCCAGATTTACAGTTGAAACAATATTCCTGCATAATTAGACACCGTCCAATGTTACTTCACAATTAGAAGAAGTTATTCACTTAACATTGCTAAACCTGTATGGAACTACTAAAGCAGTGAGAAAAATGCAAGACATCTAGCGATCAGCAGACCAGCATTTACACCACACATGCTTCTCCTACTCTAATTTCTCACAAATACATCCACATGTTAACAGGGAACAAGAATGAAAAAAGCAATCTCTAACAAATAAAAATTTACGAAGTCCCTTCAGCGCTCTTCTCCTAATTTCTTTGCGACTGGGACATATCATTCATCTCATTTGACAAAGACTCACGCTATGGGAGCAAAAGGGAAACTCAGGGCAAGGTTTTTCAGATTCATGGCCTCAACTAGAGGTCTAAAGCCTCCTATTTAATAATACTGACTCCTACCACCATACACAAAGTAAAAAGGTGTTTTCTAAACATTCACAGATTGGAAAATTAGAAAGAGGACAGCAGAAGGTAAATACCAATATGAATAAAACATCACAGAGAAGCAAATTATACCCTTCAAACCGAGTTTAGTGGCACCACACAGAAACAACTCAATAAAGAACAAAAGCGATAACTTATCACAAATTCTCCAAAGGGCCTAATTGGTAGAAAAAATATCGTACTTTTTGGCACCAACAATTCTTCCCTGCTTGAAGTTGGTGCGTCATTTCAGAATGATTTAGGACAGCAGTTAAGAGAAATACAAAGAAAATTTTGTGCCAATCCAGACAAATTCCACATGAAACAAGTACCTAAGCGCCAAATTAGTATACAATTCCAATTACACTGCTAATGTCAAAAAGAAATAAAACATAAGGAAGAGAATTAGGCTTAGCCCCCCGCCCCCCAAAAAAAGGAAAAAGAAAAAAAAACGACAACAAAAAAAACCAAATGAAATACATGACCAAAACCCATAAATTCTAACTTTACATATATAGAATAGAACAAAGTTGCTTCTCCTCCTCATAATACAATTAGCCGTTGTCAGATAGAAGAATTACAATGTCCATAAACTACATCTATCGATGAGCTTGCAACCGGATTCCACATATAACACCAAGGTAACAATTAGTTGAAACCAGACAGACCAATCTATGACTGCATAAAGTTAGATCGCGTAATCTGCAAAACTTTTCATTCATGGTACTCATGGGGTTTTTGAGACGTTGGGCCTTCAAATAACATGTATTTAAGTCCCAATACCCATTAGTAAATGCAAATTATCCCCTCCCGTTCACATCTGTTAGTTTAGCAACGACAGGCGACAGCAATATATGTTTTCCCATGATATCGCTGTCGACAACCCCCACTTCTAACAATAATGGAGCCACTAGCTCCTTTTGATTCAGAAGAAATTGCTGCCCTCATCAGAATTATTAGGGGGGCTCATTTTATAGCTAACAACAAATTTAGGGAAACTATCGGGCTTTGGCAACTCATTATATAATTAACAACTAATTTAGGGAAACCGATGAATTTGGGGGACTCCTTGTAAAATATTAAATTTTTGGGGAAGAGCTGAGATTTGGGGGTCAATATCTCAAAAATCCTCACCAAAATCTCTTCTTTCGCAGAGATTATGAGGGGGAAGTGAGGGGGGAAACTTACTGAAGAGTTGGAACGATCCCTGATGGATGCTTTGAAAGATCTACAGGCTGATTCCCTTCCAACACTTGATCTGCCATTAATTAGATAAATTCACCTCAGATGTCCTAATTTACGTAACCCACCAGCTTATACCCTCAATTTATCCTCAAAATCAAATCTTTTAACCAGTTCCCAGGTTTTCAAACGCGATCGGATCAAAAAAATAACCAGATCTAACCGATTCAGCTCAAATCTTAGGGTTTACAAGGATCAGAGAGCAGAAGACGTTAGATCTGGGCGGGAAACGAGAGGGGATTCGATTTATAGAGGGAGAGATTTGAAACCTGGGGTCTTTTATAGGGAAGGGGATAAAGATCTGAGAGAGAATGAGAGGGTCTCTAGGGTTTCGTTTGATTTAAGAGAGAGAGAGTGGTGTTGGTTGGATGAGAGAGGAGAGAGAAAGGGTCGGAGATTAGCAAGTGGGCTTTTGTAGGAGGGCGTCAGTATTTGTATCGGGGGTGGTGTTGACCGGCCAGGATGGGAGTTCACCGGGTGTTGCCGGTTGCCTTGAGGGGTAGTTTTGTCTTTCCGCTTGGGTCTGGAGATGTTTGGAAGTGGAAGCCAGCTGTGAGCTTCCTGTCTCTTTTGGAATAGTAAATGTCGTGATGACCCTTAGCGCGTGAGTGAAGAGGGGATTTATACGTGATTTCAAGGAAAGAGCTTTGCTACAAGGACCCAAACTATAGAACCAATAGGTTGGACAAGTGAGGTGTCCTCTTCCTATTGAATAATGAGTTGGCCAACTCATTATGGCCAACTCATTATCCAATAGGAGGGGGACACCTCACTTGTCCCACCTATTAGTTCCATATTTTGGGTCCCTAAGGAATTTTTCTCAAGGAAAAATTGCTTCAACGCCCCAAAAATGGGAACATGATGTGCCTCAGCCTCCTTAACTTTTCTTTTTCTAATGTGTATTAGTCCCGAGCTTTGCTACAGTGACCCAAAATATGGGACCAATAGGGGGACAAGTGATGTGTCCCTCTCCTATTGGATAATGAGTTGGCCATCATTAATGATGGCCAACTCATTATCCAAAAGGAGGGGGACACCTCACTTGTTCCCCCTATTGGTCCCATATTTTGGGTCCTTGAGGAATTTTTCATTAGTCCCAGAAAGAAAAAAAGTCCATGCAATTCAGCCCCCTTTACATTTTTAAGATAATAAATCTCCAAACTACCCTCTTCTTCTCCACATCTTCTCCATATCTGCTTCTTCTCTTCCAACAAACTCATCTCCTCTTCCACCTTCTCTCCAACCTCGTTGGGAACCTCCAACACCGCCAGCACCTCTGCCACCTCTGTCTCCCCTCGACCTCGTCGACTCCATCCTCAGTCGTAGCCCCCGTCGCCACCATCGCGCCGCCTCCCATCTCCTCTTCCATCCTCTCTCTCCAACCTCACTC